AGCTCCGGCTTTCCAGAAAGAGCGGCCGGGTCTCCTGTGTCCACGGGAGTAATACTTACAACCGAGCGACCCAGGACGGGAGCGGCTCGGGAAGGCGCGCCAGGTGCTGGCGACTGCAGTCCAGCAGATCTCCGAGGCAACGGCAGGGAGCGGGGCACGGGCGCCCAGCGGCGACCCCGGAAAGATGTCCGAGTGCCCCCGGGCCGCCGCGGCGGTTGCCCTCGACAGGGCCCGCGCGCCCCAGCATCGCGCACAGCAGCAGCACCAGCGCCGCCGCGGGCGCGCGGAGCCTTGGTGCGCCCATCGCGCTCCGGCGGCCTCTCGCTCCGCCCGGCTGCAGAGCGCCCAGTGCGCACTGGGGTCCGGGCACAAACTTTCACCCGAGGAGTGGGCGCCTTCGCTGCCGCCTGGGCGTGCACGCAATCCTCCCTCTCGCTCCGTGTAAACGCTTTTTACTCGCACCAGCGAAGCCCTTTCATGCTCCGGAGCAGAGAGAACGAAACAAAAAACAACGGCCAATTGAGGCAGATTGAGGCAGAGTTGCAGCCCGAGAAGGGCAGACGCTCCGAAACCCCTTCTCGCCTAGCCTGCAAAAGAAACTTTTTCGGCTCCTCCCCGCGTCGGTGCGCAAAGTCATCGAGTGGCGGAGTCACGAGGCTGGGCGGGGCGCGCGGCCACGTGACAATAACAAGGCTCCAGCCCGGAGCGGGGACAAGGGGAGAAAGTGGAGCTGAGATTGTAAGAACTTCGGAGTTACGTTTTCCAGCCTCTCTTGGCCAGAAGTCTCTGCTATGTCCTCGGCAGCATATATCAAATGAAACTGAAGGGCAAAAGAGAGTGTCTGTAAAATAAATGAGCAAATATTAGGCCAGCTCCTAACAGACACATGAAGAAATGCTCACAATCATTAGCCATTAGAGAAATACAAATCAAAACTACAAAGAGATACCATCTTACCCCGACAAGGCTAGCATTAATTCAAAAAAACACCAAATAATAAATGCTGAAGAGGTTGTGAAGAGACTGGAACACTTATACACTGTTGGTGGGAATGTAAAATGGTACAACCACTTTGGAAATTGATTTGGCACTTTCTTAAAAAGCTAGAAATAGAAGTACCATACAATCCAGCAATCTTGGTCCTTGGAATGTATCCTA